GATAATACCGCTCCTACTCCTTAAACGTCTCTGCTAACATCGCGACTTGTCTATTTTGGGTGAACTGGAATACTCAAGCCATCCGCTCCAGTGGACGTCACGAGAGGAATGGATAGGGCTCGAGAGTCTCGGTGTCTCACAGCCGGGGCATGCGCGACGGGCGGGCGCTTCGCGCCTCCTAATTTGCGCAAGCTGCATCGGGAATCGCCTCTAGCTTCTCACCATCTTCCTACTAGTGCTTTTATGATGCATAAGTCCCGTTTGCATGCGACCGTCGTCTGCAAATTCGAACGTGCATAGCGCGGTGTACAACCTCAGTTGCTACGAATAGAAGCACGACATAAGAAAGCAAGCAACAACAAAACCTGCATCCAGAACCGCGAAGCGTCATTTCGGCCACGAGTGGTGGGTTGCACTCAGGCCCAACACCGGCGCTGCTGCTCCAGCGACGATCACTCCCTTCATCCTGGATGCAGAGACGTCCGCAAATCAGAAAGAAACAAGGAAACAAAGTGCCCCCCCTCAGACCAAGGAACTCCCGGCTTCTGAAGCTGTCGCGGCTCTCCCCTTTTACGGGGGTTCCATGGCGGCGACAACGGCGAGCCGGGTTAAGGGGCCGGTGGGAAGAGATAGCGGCAGTTGTCCGGATCTGCCTTGTACGCCGGCACGCACACGCACACACTTGTTTTCGTCGCACCGGCAGCGACATAACCGATGGAGGGGATATCGCTGCATGGCATATCATTGCAATTCATCATCCAGATCCACTGCACAAACAACTCAATCACCGTCGTCCGGGTTCCTGCCAAGGCGCGATGTTGGTCGAGTTATTTTTCTGGTATCTTTCTCCCGAGCAAATGGACAAACGACTCCATTCGGCATTCTACCCGTTGAGACTGAATGATTCAGAAAACCCGCGATACGAACCAAAATCCAAGACAGACCCTGACTTTCTATCCGAGGAGAGACAGAAGCATTCCTTCCTCTTGCGTCTGACTTACTGGCATCGTCCGAAGAAAAAGCATCGCGGTGTTGTCTCATGTGTCGCGGGGCAATCACAAGACACCCATCACCTCATCCCAGAACAATGAAGCCACCATCGTTGACTCCCGCCCTGCCGTCGTTCCGGGGGGGCCGTACGTAGTGCAGACGACGACAAGACCAGCTTGAGAGACGAAAAGTCAATCGCAATGCTTGGCCTGCCAACTCACCAGTGAAAAGTATTCGATAGATCACTGGCACTGCCTCCCCGTCATCTAATTAAGCTAATCTCGATGGGCACTATAAAGCTTGTCATTGGCCGAGACTTCTTGGTTCGCCCCATTTACGGATCGCTGCACCCGTCTCCAATCGTATTTCACAACTCGCGGGCACTACAGCAGTCGTCGTAAAAACTTGCGGATATCTTTCATAAAATGTCCTCATTCGCTATCTTCCATACATAACTTCACAAAGCCCCCCTCATTGGATTTGACGAGCCCCCTTGTTGCTGACAGACCACCTCCACCGAGGAACGACTCTCTCTGAGTCTGCCTGACCAGGAACATTTTGCAACCCTGTTCGGCCATTGCCACCAACAGTCCTTTTCGACTCTTGCAGGTTGCACTCGGCCCGCCTCCTGAGCGCAAACGATAGACGTGATCCGACCCTGCCCATTGTACCTCTATATCTGCTGCGAGACACAGCTGCAGGCTGAGTCGTGTGAGCTGATTTGTCTCTGCTCCAATAGCCCAGGCCTGTGACAGCTTTAATCGAGTTTTCCCTCCTATGCCGCCTCGTTTGCCGCGAAAACGCTCGCTCAAGTCTCGGTGAACAGTCCCAGTGCAGCTTAATCTCGGCTCGTCTCGTCTCGTTGCGTCCTGAAGAACCCCCTGTCTCTCCCCCTCTCCGCCCCAGTGGCCATCTCGCCGGGTTTCACATCTCAGCCTCGCGTGGCCGCCGACGCTGAAGTGTCCACCACCTGGTAAAACTCCGGCGCGTATTCCACAAGCCAGTCTTTCTCGATCTTGGTGATATCCCGGATGAATATCTTCTTGCTGGTCTCCATGACCTCGTGGAAGATGACCCAGTCAGCCTTGCGGTTGAACATGAGCGAGCTCGGGTGGGCATGGAGCGTCGTCTCGCCGGTCACGTTGCGGAACGTTCCGTCCGGCTGCATCCTCGCCGCGTGCGCAAAGTATCCTGCCGTGAGACACCGCCGTATATGCTCCGCCTTTTTAACGTTGTCTTGGCCCTTGGCGCCGAGGGACTCTTCGACCGTGATGCCGAACTTTTCGAGATATCGCTTCAGCTGCGCGCGTATACTCACCGCGCGCGTCAGGGTTTTGAAGTTGAGATTGTGGTCGCGGGCGAACTTGGACTCCTTTTTGCCCTTCATGACGAAAGCTTGGTAGACGTTGAGCAGGGTTAAGTGGTCGCCTTCCTCGGCCGCAAACAGCCGCCTGGAGGTCTCCATCTGCTTGCGCTCGCCGTCGTGGTAGAACCAAACGTTGTTCCCACCTGCAGAGGTCATCGCCGCGATGGTCAGGATCTCGCTGAGGCAGCCGAATGATGAGGCGCTGAGGAGAGTTTTGCCCATCATCGGCTCGACGGCGATCTCTGCCATCCTGTAGCCCAGTGGTTTCGTGAGCTTTGCATAATCGTCGAGTGCTCCCAGTGAGTAGAGTAGTTCCAAGGCTTTGGCCATCAACTCCGCCGGCGGTGGGCTGAGGAAGTTAAAGCGGAGGACGTTGTCGATGCCCAGCGCCTTCAGCTGCAAGATGAAGGGTGCGAGATTAGACCGCTGAACCTCAGGGACGGTGAACTCGGGTAGACTCAAGAAAGATTCTTCGGTGTAAAGTCGGAAACACTTGCCCGGTCTCGTACGTCCTGCTCTGCCGGCGCGTTGGTTTGCTGAGGCTTTGGAGATGGGGTTCGAGATGAGAGACTCTATGCTCGTTGTGGGATTGTACGCCCTGAGCTTGGCAAAACCGCAGTCGACGACATAGACAATGCCGTCGATAGTGATGGACGCCTCAGCGATGTTGGTCGCAAACACGACCTTTCTTGTGCCCTCGGGCGGCTTGTCGAAGACATACATCTGCTGCTCCGTGGTGAGACCCGCGTAGAGCGGGAGTGCCTGCAACTTCTTTTCTTGACTTCGCAAGTTAAGGAGACGATCAGCGACGGCCTGGCAGGCTTCATCAATCTCCTCGCGGCCGGTGAGAAACACCAGGATGTCTCCTTCGTCTTCATTTTCGTGTATGTCAAAGACAGTTGAGATGGCCTTTTCGAAATAGTTTTCCGTCGGTGACTCGAGATAGAGGAGGTCCACGGGGAAAGTTCTTCCTTCCAGAGATATGATGGCAGACTTATCGTCGCCAGGAGTGGCAGCCTTTGTCGTGCTGTCATCGCCCGGTTTTGTCGTGATTTTCTGATCCCCGTCACCTGGGCTGGTTGTGAAGAACTTTAGAAACTCTTCTGCCTGCAATGTGGCACTGCTGATTATGACACGCAAATCCGGTCGCTTCTTCAGAATCTTCTTGAGCAGGCCTAGGAGAATGTCGGTGCTGATGGAGCGTTCATGAGCCTCGTCCACCATGATGACGGAATATCTCGTCAGCAGTGGGTCTACGAGAGCCTCTCTGATGAGCAAACCGTCGGTCATGAACTTGATGCGAGTCTGGGCGGAGGTGGCATCTTCGAAGCGGATTGCATAGCCCACTTCCTTGCCTATCTCGCAGCCGAACTCTTCCGCAACTCGCACGGCAACCGTTGTCGCAGCGACTCTTCGAGGCTAAGGTAATATTAGCTTGTGCCGTCATGAAGATTGAGATTTACGAGTAACCTACCTGCGTGATCCCAATGACCTTGCCATCTGCACACCATCCCGCTGCCTCGAGGAACTGGGGAATTTGGGTGGTCTTACCGGAACCGGTCTGACCAACAACGATGGTGACCTGTTTCGTCTCAATGAGATAAAGCAGTGCCTTGCGGTGCTTAGCAATTGGCAGCAGCGCAGTCGGCTTATGCAAGGCTGGGATGAATGCCGAGTTAAGGTCAAAGTCGGCCATGTTTGATGCTGAGCTTCAACAGCTTTTGAATAATGCCGAAAAAAAGAAATTGCACTTCGCGAACGACAGAGGCACCGCTTCTTAGGCAGTTGAAATCTGTGTATAAGTATTATGACCTTAACATTGGCCTCAGCTTATTATTTTGGCCTCAGTTAAACATTGTGTCAACTGATGCAAGCCACTTGGTGGTGTTGTAAGTGCTTTGGCGGCCTATCTGCCTGGTGGGTGAAGTCGGTGGTACCTATGTTTGCCAAATAGCCCAGCTGCAACCAGCTGTCGGGTCACATGGGAAGTGTCAGCAGTGTCAAACGATCTTTACCCGATTGGCTCAGGAAAACCCACACTCATCACCAGCCACCAACCGCCAGTCAGCGCTGTGCCTATTGAATCCTCCGTGGCTGTGACGCAGTGGCTCAGGAGGAGCTCAAGCTCCTGTCCCGTGTCAAATTGGCCGCCTGGAGGCGCGGGCGCGGCGTCATCAGCAGCCCAGCTCGCAGCCCACTTTAATATCATCTCGCCAGCTCCCTAACCCCTCGCTCGGCGCAACAACGACCTTGCACAACAACCTTGGGAGAACAGTCCTACTTAATTGTCTAAAGAGACCTTGCGTTTAAGGCTTTCATTGCGACCCATACCGATCACACACATTCCAGGTCCTCCAACTTATTAAGTAGCCGACCTGCGTAGTCATGTCTGCTCCTAACGAAACAGTGCGCCATCCCGCCTCGAAACACTCTACTTTATGCGATGTTCCCTGCGGCTGACACCTCATCTCTGTTGTGACTTTAGAACAAGAACACCTCGTCCAGTGGACCCGAGTCTCCCACTACAGTCAAACCCCTGGATCTCAGCGACGACGAAGACGTCCAGGAGACAGGAATCCTCGGCGGTGAAGACAACCATCAAACCAACACCACCGCAACCACCACCACCACCAACACCACCAACATGGCATCCTCGACACCCGCCACCGAGGCCGCCCCTCCGAAGCCCCCGAGACCTTCTACCGAGAACCAGAAGACCGAGGACATTCTGAAGGAAGCATTCCCGAGCATCGACATCGCGGTTATCAAGGCTGTTCTGAGAGCCAGCGGTGGACAAATCGACCCTGCCTTCAATGCCCTGCTTGGTGTGTCGCGTGCCCATTCACGTTCCGGCCCACAACTAACAATGCATCACAGAAATGACGGATCCCGATGCAGCTCGTAACGAGCCCGAACAGGAGAACCCTCCTCCCCAACCCCCTCGTCCCGCCGCCGGCCCCGAGCTGTCTCAGCTCGAGGCGGACGAGCTTTACGCACGTCAGCTTGCTGAGCACTTTGATAATGTTGGCAACTATGAGGCTAGGACTGCGAACCGCAGCCCCGGCGGTCGCGTCAGACGCCAGCAGACTGGTCTTGAGCCCCGAGTGAATGCCGAGGACCGTGAGCACAACTTCTTCGACGACGAACTCCCAGTCATCCAGGAGAAGCTCCGCAAGGGCTTCATGGAGACCCAAGGCAAGGTGAACAGCTGGATCACGACCATGAAGAAGAGGTTCGATGAGGAATTTGCCGAGGAAGATGAGCACACTCAGCGGCCTGGCCAGGGCCAGGGACAGTACGGTGGCAGACGTCCTGGGGAGTCGAGCCGTAGGAGCGGCGACTATGAGAGATATGACGCCGATCCCCAGGTGCTCAGCGACGATTTCGCAGGCATGAAGTTCACTGCGGATGGTAGTAAGTACAGACTCATAGTTGATAACAACCAACCCAGCGCTAATCGCGAAGCAGCTCCAGTCCGCGGTGATAACAGGCCGTTGTCCAACCCTGATCTCTTCAAGCCCCCTCCGCCTTCCAAGTCGCCCAAGCCTGACGGGCGCAAGGTCGCTTTCCGCGAGGGTACTGAGGAGATTGACGTCTACGAATCGTCGCCCAGAGTGTCTGCCGAGGATAGCACGGGGAAGACCAAATCTAGCAAGTGGCAGCCTCTCTCGACGGTCGAGCCTAGCCCGATCAACGACAATGACCCGTTCAGTTTGGGCGACAGTGAGGACGAGAGAGAGGCCAAGGAGAAGGCTGCGACAAAGGACGTGAAATCAGACGACAGCGAAAGGTTGAAGAAGGCCGCTGCGGAGGCAATGGCGGACAGCCTAGTCGATGCCAAGGATGGCGAGTCGGCGGGTGCGGCGGCCAAGAAGAACTGAGTAGCAGAAGGCGATGGGAGGCATTGTGAGGTGGAAAAACTGTTGGTTACTGGTTCCTACGACTTTCATTTGCAGATATCCAGCCCCTGGCTTGAGCAGCAACAAGAGCCTAGCAAAGGGTCATCGGGAGGCAAGGGAATTGGGGCACCCTAATTTGTTTCTGAGGAAGCGTAGTCATCACAATCCTAAATTGAATGCATTTGCAGCAGTTGACAATGTGCCACTAGCGGTGACGAGTCAGTTGGATGTGGAAAATGAAGGTCAGACGCTGGTGGATGATGATAAGTCGTCGGCGAAGTCCGCGTGTCGTGTTGAGAGATGGTAAGAGAGGACGAATCAATGAGAGAGATCTGCATCTGACGTCGTCGTGAGACATCTCATCTGCGGAAACCCGTCGTCGGAAGTGGAACATTGTCCCGGTGAATGACACGGCAACACGCGGATGTAAACGGGGGGGGGGGCGTCAAGGGCAGGGTCCGGTCATCAAGGGACTGGCCAGACCCCGAAGTCTGGACTTCCGGTAGAAGGCGATGCTATGTTGAGGCAAGCTGGGTAGAAGACGAGAATAGGACGCACAGCACTGCAGTAGGTAACGTCGCAGTCGAAGACAAGGGACCCGCTTGACGAGCGATCTGAAGAGAGAGGCACTCGGGTTTTATTACCGGGCCGACTGCATGACGATTGTTACGATCTCAATGCTACAGAGGGGTTGCCATTTTCAAAGTCCCTCAACGATTTGAAGTTTACTAGGAAGGCAGGAGGGGCCTGGAACAAGGGAGAGGACCTCACGAATTGGAGGTTGCTGCATGGTGAGGGGAGCTCGTTTGTCTGCCCCGCATCAAATTTGTTTTTCAGTTTTTTTTTTCTGCCCACCAGCCCGGCTACTTCCGTACGAGTTGGATGCCGTCTTGCATTTCTGCTGCAGGCGTTGCACTTTGGGGACCACGAGACTGGCTGTCATCGTTTTTTCCGATTCTCTCTTTTTTCTTTTTTCCAGGGACCATCCAGCTTAGCTCATGTTAAGAACGTGCTCCAGAATTGTGGTCTCCTCTGCGGAGTAAGGTGGTTTCCAGCGGAAATACGGAATTTGGGGTGCGGTGAGGGTACCCAGACATAGGTAAGTGAGTTGAGCAATGAAGAAAGAGAGAGAGAGTAGACAGCTGTCGGAGCATTACGGTGGACTTCAAGGGTGATATTCCGTGGCTTTCTCACGATCACCCAGAAGAGACGGAGTCTTCCGGGCTTGGGCTTTGGCACAGAGTGGAATAATTCCGAGGAGAGAAAATGTCCGTCACGGGGGGAAAGAGAAACTTGGAGTCCATGTTTTGGCGCGGAAAATTCTTTCTGGTTTCTTGAATTTCGAGTGCTCGGAAGCATGTCGTTGGCATATGTCTTGACATGGCGTCTTGGGGATTCAGCCTCGCACTTGGCATGTCGAGCAGAAAACGTGGTTCATCCGCGAGGCGCTATTGGCCGGCGATCTGAAGACTTGGCTTTGAGGGGTGACGCGAAGAAGGGGGGGCCTACCACGGTTCATCCTTGAGCAAGCAAGCTGTGCCGCTTCTGACAGCAAGTACCCAACTACTTTTACCTGTTACAGGCAAGTACACACGAAGTACGCAGGAGACGTAGGCCAGTCGTACGGTTCCAACCAAGTACGAAGCAAAGGTGCAAAGGTGCCTTGCCTTGGTTGGTTGGCATGCGGCTAGAGGTACAGCTAGCCGGCTGCAGGACTCGAGACGAGAGTCGGAGAGAATTCTACGACGAACGAGTATTTTTGTCTCCAAGATGCACGAAAAAGCAAGTCAGGAAACCCCACGTGCTCAACTCCTCGACAGCTCTCTTACCTGGCCTGGAAGCGCACGAGCGTTTTTGATGATGTGTGAAGTTACCACGTCTAGGTTCTGCCATGTTCGTGTGCTCCTCATGTACCCAGCTACTGCTGCATAGTAGTATTAGAGATATGCGTCGAGACTGCGTGCATGGCATGTCACCCGTTCCGTTTTCTCGTCTTATGAGCCGTCGCGTGAAGCTTCCGGAGTAGGTAGGTAGGCATATGCTCGGGATACCTGAAGACGACAGGTGTTCGCGATGCAGCCAAGTGGCCCATCGACGTCTGCGTTGTGTGGGAGACTTGTCCAGTACAGACACACATATTTATGGACTGCCCAAGTAGAGATACCTGCGTGAGAGCAGAGATGTCTGTTGCAGTGCGACGTGCAAGGGTGCAGAGCTGCGAGAGGTACCCCGCACCTGCCTGTCGCTAACACAAGCGGGCAGTTCAGTGTGAGCAGCAGCAGCAGGGGGGCCGCTGGAGGATGATCGGGACGGACAATGGAAGAGCGCACCGGCTGAATGCCCCACAATTTGGCCGTCACTGTTGCTGCTCAGCCCCTCCAATTGGACAGACCGGCGCAGTAGTTGGCCAAGAGCCGGCCGGCGCCCATTGGACTTCACGGGCTTGGGTTGGGTTCTAGTGCAAGGTTCTGCTCCGGTCCCCAGTCGCTACCTACCTTACTACACCACGGATACCAACCATTGACCAACCCTACCCACCTTGCCTTGGTCCCCCAGTCTCCATTCAGTTCGACTTTGGAGAGCCTGCCCGTGGTCCATGGAGCTTGCTTGACAGGTCCAGCGAGAAAGAGGAAGACCGGGAGAGAGAGAAAGCGAGAGAAGGCACACCTCGCCTGCGTCAACGCCTCACTCATACCTACCTACCTTACCCATGCGAATACCCGACCCGAACTCTAGATCTACCTAGACCCGAGCTGCCGCTCTACATCTCCCTTACGCCGCCATACGTTCGACTGCCCTCTTCTGGTCACCCTGCTGGTTTCTCTGCAACGTCCTCGGTTCTCGAAACTGGCAGAGTTGCAGAACGCAATTCACCTTTCCCACCTTGCTTGAACCTCGACGGCTATCCAGACTTACCTCATATCTCACTTTCACGCACACCCAGGTAGTCCAACCAAGGCCACCACCCGCGCCGCAACGACACCGTCTCATTGGCATCCGAACGCCGCCAACCGCCATCTACCTAGCTGCAGCAACTCCAAGTACAAGTCCTTGGTTCGCTTGGGCCGTCTCTCTCTTTTGCCTGGTAAGCGTTGCCATTCCTCTAGCAGACCCCTCGTGATCTTCTCCGATTCGCTGCAAGTCAAGTTTGGTTGCCTGTGCAGTCTTTATCAAGCATCGTTTATCACACCAGTACTCTTTGCTCGAGCCTCAATTCCGCTATCACATGTCGAACACTGATTGCTATTCTCGTCAACGGCACCTCCGTTCTTGTAATCCCCTTCTGGCAAGCGAGGTGGTAACAGGAACCAACACTCCTGGCCGGTTCCAATTAGTCCTTGTCGACCCGGCTCAGCAGGTTGCTACTTTACCTGACACCCCCTGCCACGATCAATACATCACGAGCTACCGGCCAGATCGTGCCCTGCCATCTGGGGATCCAAACTTGGATAAGACAGCCCTGGACCGACAGTGTCGCCGGGGTATTAGGAGCCCAACGGGCAAAACTGGCGCTGACATGGGATATTGCCCTCCGCTGCCAGCAACTATGCACGTCCATTCACCACTCTCGATGCCCCCACGCAGCCTCTCGTCTTGGTTTCTCTTACCTACTCGTCGTAACTGCTCCCATACATTACGTCTGGCCATGCCCATGCTATGCTCAATGCGTTGGACAGGCCCCCTCTCTTGCACCACAACATCATACATGGCAGTCACCGAGCACCGAGGCACGCCCGGGATAGCTTCAGCCTAGCCCCCACCAACATCTCCATTCTCGCTCGCTTGAGGCGTCTTACGCAGCCTGAGTTGTTCTCTCTGTATGGATACCTCTTCAGGGGTCCTTCTCCTCCCGCGCATGTTCCGAAAGTCCAGAGCTCCAGTTACTTCGTACCTGTATGGGCCAAGCGGCCAGCCCGCTGCGGGCCAGAACACCAACCCAGAATGCTTATGCTCTGTTTATTCGTTTGAGAGAACTGTTTTCTGACTCAATCAATAGCTTCTAGTCTTCTTCAAGTTGAGTCTATACTTGGTCTCGACTGTCGCTCCATTCTGCACTCCCCCGGGTCTCATCATTCCAGCCTGCAAGAAAACACCCAAGGCAACCAACACCTTGAGCGGTCTTCTCCTCTTCCCACAAGCAACTCACGCCACCCAAGAGCCCCCACGTGCGACTCTGATCCTTCTTTCAGCCGTGTCCAAGACACTGTTGCCGCCCGTCGACGTCACCTAGTACATCCTTGTGGCAGCCACCCACTTTGCCTGCCGCGGCGACAGACGCAAGTTGGCAGAGCTCTTTTCTGTCATTCTGCATACATCCGCCTGCAGACTACTTACCTCCGGCTTGCAAGTACTGGAGTGATAGCATATTGTTGCTGTTCAAGCGAATTCCATCGCCTTTGGACGCCGTGATCTCACGGGCGTCCGTCCATCATGTGAGTCTCGTCCACGAGTTCTTCTGCGCCCCGTCTTATAAGTGCTCAAGGCACTGGCGCAGACGTACGCTAATATCTACACAGGAAGTTCGGCAAGCAAATTCAGAAGCGCCAGCTTGAGGTCCCAGAGTATGCCGCAAGCTTCGTCAACTACAAGGCTCTCAAGAAGGTATGTGAAGGCTTTTCAGTAAACCCAAATCTGTCTCTGCGATCTCATCCCCCGGTGCTCATCCGCTTTGGGCGGCGCGTGGTGAAGAAGACCACAGAAAAAAAAAAAGCAGAGCACCCTCCGAGGACTTAGTCACTCGGTACCCAAAACTACCCCCTCAGGGGTTAGGGGATGGAGCAACCCCCCATGACATTAACCAAATAACACACGGCATTGCAACTGACACCGGGCCGTATTCTAGCTGATCAAGAAGCTGTCGGCTACGCCCACGTTAAGCGCACAAATTGATCCTCTGCGCTCCGCAATATCTATAGACTCCCAGGCGGCTCTTCAGGCCAACAAGGCCACCTTCTTCTTCCAACTGGTAAGTTTCGACCATGGGTCAGTGCAATGAATATCCCACCATACCTGCTAACTCTTGAACAGGAACGAGAGCTCGAAAAGGTCAATGCCTTCTATTTGCAAAAGGAGGCCGAGGTATGCACTCATTTTCCTTTGTCTGCTGCAATGTCTCGCTCGACTTGTCTTAACCCCTTATTAGCTCAAGGTCCGCTTGAAGACTCTTCTCGACAAGAAAAAGGTGTTGCAGTCGCGTAATGGCGTTTCCAGACGATCAGCAAAGTTCACCACGCTCGAAGAGGGCTTCCAACAGTTCGCCAGTGACCTGAACAAGCTCCAGCAGTTTGTTGAGATCAACGGTACCGCCTTCTCCAAAATCCTCAAAAAGTGGGACAAGACATCAAAGTCCAAAACCAAGGAACTCTACCTCTCCAGGGCGGTGGAAGTCCAGCCCTTCTTCAATGCCACGGTCATCAGCGAACTCTCCGACCAGGCGACGACCAGTCTGCAAGAGCTTGGAGCTTGGGCCGAGGGAGACCATGTCACCTTTGAACCACGAAATGACCACATCGTGAGCAGTCAACATCTGCTTGGGACCGACGAGGGCGATGCCGACACGCTGCTGCTTGATACCGTAATCTCCGGAAACCTGGAGGCGTTGAGAGATCTGCTCGTTCGGATGCGGTCTGCGGCGGCTGGCTCGTCCTCGGGATCCGAACTCTCTCTGATGGAAAGAATTACCAGGACTTTTCTTGCAGCAATCCACGAAGCACCGAAGGAAACCCTGCAGGTTCTACTCGAGACGGGCTTGGTTGACATTCAGTCGGAAGATGACATCAACGAGAGGAATTGCCTACACCAAGCTGCCATCTACGGAAACAATTTTGTTCTCGAGTATGGCATCACTAAAGGCGTTGCCGTCGACCGTACCGACGTGTATGGCAGGGTCCCTTTGCATTACGCCAGTATGCATGGCCGCTTGGACATGCTCGATGCCCTCTCCACTGGTAAGTTGAAGAAGTTGAGCCTGTGCCCGTGGGCGAGTTTGCTAATCTTGGGTTGCAGCGAATGCCCAAACGATCGATCTGATCGACCACGACAACTTTACGCCGCTTGTACACTCGATAATTCACGGACATCTGCAGTGTGTTGAACGACTTCTGGTGAAGTCCGCCCGCATCGACCCGGTGTCCGACGCAGACCATGTACCACTTAATCTTGCATGCGAGCACGGTTCGCTGGCAATCGTGGAATTGCTGCTCAAGCATGGGGCACAGATCCTCCCCGACGCCGAAGGACTCTATCCCCAACATCTTGTTGCTCGGTCCGGGCAACGGCCAGAGCTCCTGCTTTTGCTGAAGAATTACGGCGCAAACCTCGATCAGATTGACAAGCTATATGGATGGACACCGCTGGTCCATGCCGCGAGCGAGGGCAACGTGCCGTGCCTGCATGCTCTCTTGGAAGTTGGAGCCGATCCAAACATCGTCGACGAAAAAGACCTGCCGGCAATGTATTACGCAGCCTGGGAAGGCCATTTGGAGTGTATGAAGCTACTGACTCCCTACAACGCGAGGACAAAACCGAGCCCGATGGTCACACATTCCGGAGGTTTAGTTCCAATGCTGACGAGCAGTGGACCTGAGCCGATGGCTCTCGATCCCGACGCCATCCCCGAACTTGAGCTCCCACCGCCGATAATACCGCTGCGCCGCTACGGACATAACTTCCTGGACACAAAGACTGTCATTCAAATTAGTTTCGAAGAAAACGGGGACCAGCCGCTGGTGTTCTTCCACGATGGCAAATATCCCGCTGCACGCCTCACCATCTCGTCCAAGGTTTCTGATCTCATTCCCAAGAACATCATGCTGCCTTTCCAAGAAGATACCCGGCTTGTTTCCTTTCAAATTGATAACCTCGAGTCCTTTACCCTGGACTTCGACGTCTTTCCCACCTATGGAGCGAAGATCATTGCCAAGACGGTGGCACTCCCTAATACGTTCAAGGCGCTGCTCAGCAGCTCCGGAAAATGCTGTCTGCCCCTGTTTGACCCCAGACTGCGCGCAATCGGTCAGATCAGCTTCCATACGCAGGTCATCAAACCCTTCAATGGAAAGCCGCTGGAGATCACCGATTTCGAGACGTATTGGAAGGCAACAAGCCAGTTTGACCGCAGCCCAAGCACATTTGTGACGGGCTCGAGTCTGTCTGGAGACTTTGTTCGGTTGTTTGTCCAGCACACCAGCGATGGTGTACCAGTCTTGTGGCCTAGGTGGACGATCCCATGCGGCGGGATTGATTTGCCAATCTCGAGGTTAACGATGGAGCAATTCAACACCATCACGTCTAAAAGCCCAAGCCGAGACGAGCTGTCCTCGCTGCCGTCGAAGCAACTGGACGCGATCGCTGATGTCCATCGTGTTCTGGCCACGGCAGGTATTCCTCTTAATGAGGCATTGGCTTTGCTTCCCCACGGAATGCATGTCAATATCCAGGTCCTCTACCCAACGCCCGAAGAGGAGCGGACCCAGGGCCTTGGGCCGTCGCAGGATCTTAACACGTTTGTTGACTCCTTGCTTACGATTGTATTTGATCATGCGCGCGCCCAAAGAGCCCAGTCCCTCGAGTCGGTCCGTTCTGTTGTCTTCAGCTCATACAACCCGAGCCTCTGTACGGCACTTAACTGGAAGCAACCAAACTTCCCAGTTTTCTTGTGTAACGACCTTGGCCGGGAAGACTCAATGTCGCCACCAGACATCATCCAGAGCCATGGACGCAGGTCCGCGTCGATCAAGGAGGTTGTCAGGATTGCGCAGAGCAACAACTTCATGGGTTTGATTTGCTGCTCAAGATTATTGGTATGTAATGCTCGTTTCCTTGGATGCTTTGACATTGCCCGCTGATAACATCCAGGAAATGGTCCCTGCTTTGGTTGATGCCATCAAGTCACATGGGCTGGCGCTTGTCACGGACAAGTCGCTGGACCCTTCAAATACCAACTCCCTCTCTGACCCATTCCCGAGGCTGCCTAAGGGGGTGGACGGTGTGCTGAAAAGTCATGGTGTTTTGCGCTTCAACGAGTCCATCGATGTGTAATGCCTTCATAGATATTTTAAGAGTCTTGTAATTACGCGTCATTCAGAAAAAAGACTTGCGCGCTCTGCCCTGATGAGCAGTTCCCAGCCGAACTCCAATTCCCAATCATTACATGCTTTAAGCGACTACAGGTCATCAATCTGGCATTATTCGTGAAAATGCATTCCCCGTTTTGTTAGCATCTGCTCAGGCGCCCTTGTAACCATACTTGAGCGCACTTAATTCCTTTTCAGGGTCGACGCTGGCCATGACCACCTTTGCAAGGATAATGACTATGTACACAATGGCAGGTAAGTTTCCCAGCCCGACGTGCCCGAAGATATCCCTTTCGCCGGACTTGGTCACCATACCCATTAGAACTAGCATCGCGCAGAGGCCCAAGTTGAGGTACGGGAGGTACTGCTCCAGAGGGGACTTGTGCTGCTCGGTGAAAGAGAAGGAGCTCCGTCTGCGCCGACGCGTGGTGGTCGAAGGGCCAGGCTGATACTGAGAGGAGCTCCCGGAGACCGAGGAGACGGAGGACTCGAGCGAGGAGGAGGGGCTTGTGTGCGGCGTCTTGGGCCTAGACCAGGCGTCAATGAAGGGGATGCCCGTCTCCCCCGGCGCCTGGGTGTGTAGGAGGTAAGCCGTCGACAAGAGGGAGGTAATGGAGAGGAGGGAGGCCATCATGGACGTCAGGCGCAATAGCGAGATGAGGAATGGGATCGTCGTGAGGACTGGCATGGCGAGGAGAAAGGTGCGGAACTGGGCGTTGCGAGCGGCGTTGTCGTCCGCTAGTTGCTGAATGAGCTGCTCCTGCTCTGTTCGGGCAGAGGTCAGCAATCCGTGCGATTTGACGGCGAGGTTTGGAGGTTGGGGTCGCTTACCTTCTTCGTCCATGGCTTCGGGTTGCGAATCTGCTGAATCGTCGTCCGTGGGGTAATGGAATGTTCGCCGCAGACGGGCGCCTGCGCCCCTGGATTCTGCCATCTAGATGGGCCTCGTGCAGCTGGGATGTTTTGTAAGTAGTATCGTTACGGTCGCGAAGCTTTGCGCGATGTCCACGTTATATTTTGTGGTGTTTTGTCAGTCGTCGCGAAGGGAAACGTGGTGGTGAGATATATCACCTGGCGGGTGTAATTAGGAGGGGAAAGAAACAGCTAAATGCAAGCAGGAGCTTTGATAGGCAACCTTCAGCGCAGAGCAATGACAACTCAGCCTTATGACGCGCGCCGAATGGCCATGTGGACATGGATGTGCATTGTAAATTGATTGGACGAAGCTCAGCAAGGCTTTTTTGGGGGGCTTGCTGGTGCTCTCATTTTTTCCCCCCTCTGCGCGGAGGAATTGGGGGCGTTAGAGCTAGGCCTGGGCCCGCCCACTACTGAAGCCGACCGCTGCGAAGTCCATGACCTGATTCGGGAATCTGTTGAGTTTTCGTCGCAAACCACCACGAACGTCCCACCACGACTCCGACATTTGGAACTTCCTGGGCAATAGCTAGGGCTCATACAGTTTGCCAGACATGCTTTCAAGAACAGTAACGAGGCGGCTCGTCTCCTCACTGCGCAACGCCGCTGCACGACCACAGTCACAACTCAGGAACCAGACACAACGGAGATGGGCAACTGCGGCGCCGAAGCCGGGATCAGGGCCCTTGATGGAGAGGCGGGCTGATAGAGAGCTTCCGGGTAAGCTCTCCCTCTTACTTCCTTCGCTTCACCTGCCTGCCTGTTTAATACTGGCCCAGAGCGCTGACGGTCGCGATGTAATTGTGTGTAGACATCAACCAAATCACCTTCCGCTGGTCCCGCTCGCTCCCCATCTTCGCCGCCGCCATCGTCCTCTCCAGCGTCGCAATCTTTAACTACCAGAAGTCGTCGTCGCCCGTGATCGCATCGACAATGTACGCTCTGCGCACCAACCCGCGGGCCCGCGAGCTGCTCGGCGACGAGGTCTACTTCAAGCACCAGATTCCGTGGATCTCGGGCGAGATGAACCAGCTGCACGGCCGCATCGACATCAGCTTCAGCGTCAAGGGCACCAAGGGCGAGGCCGTCATGAAGTTTGCCAGCTTCCGGACCTCGCACAAGGGCTTGTTCGAGACGACCGAGTGGAGCCTGGAGACGCCCGACGGCCGCAAGGTCGACCTGCTGGACGGCGCTGATCCGTTCCGGGGCATCGTTGGTGGGGATTTGGACGACGATTTGGACGAGCCTGCGTCGGCGGCGACGAGAGGCTTTAGGCAGAACATCAAACAAGGGGCGAAGTAGTGGTCATGCGAGCGAATCGAGGAATGGGCTGTCAAAAAGTGCGGTAGTAGGTGGTGGTCATTGGGATATTCGGGCGAAGAGAGCCGCCCAGTCATGCGCCTCGTAGGGGGGTGTAAATGTACAACATGTATAGTACACGGACTCATAACAACAACGGTTAAAATGGGAAAACACTCTTTACGAGAATGTCGAGTTCCTGATCTCCTTGAGTTGCAGGTGCCTTTCCCTTGCCTGCTGCAGTCTCGCCTTGTTCTCCGGCTTGCTCTTCAACAACTCCAACAGCTTCTCCTTGCGGTACGGCAATGCCGGCGCCTTCCTCTTCTTCGCATCCTGGATCTGCACGAGACAGTTCTTGGGCCCTCCAACAGCGCCCTTGACGAGCACGATGCCCAGCTCGTTGTCCACCTTCAGCACCGTCAGATTCTGCACCGTCACCCGCTCGTTGCCCATCCTTCCAGGCATCTTCTTGCCCGGCATGACTCTGGAACCGGAGCCTTGCGAGGGACCGGTGGTACCGATGGTACGGTGGTTCTTGGAGTTACCGTGCGATGCTTCCTGTCCAGCGAAGCCGTGGCGCTTCATACCACCGGCGAAACCCATGCCCCGGGTGTTGGAGCGCACATCAACATACTGGCCCGTCTGAAACCAGTCCGGGAACAGCTGTGAGCCAACGGGTAGCAGACCCTTCTCATCGCGGACCTTGAACTCGGCGAGGTGGCGCTTGGGCGCGATGCCCTTCGCCTCGTAGTATCCCAGCATTGGCCTGTCCACGTTGCGGGGTTCCTTGCTGCCCAGGCCGATCTGAACGGCCCAGTAACCGTTCTTCTCACGTGTCTTGTTCGCGACGACCTGGACCTGATCGAGCTGGAGGACGGTGCAGGCGACGCGCTTCTTGCCGTAGTAGATGGCGGTCATGCCCTTCTTGATCGCGAGGGCGCCGGTGCGGAGAGGAGTCGTCTTCTCGCGGCGGGCGAGGGCGGCAGCGGGACCGGTGGTAAGGACGGGGAGACCGGCCGTCGGCTGGTTGAAGCGGGCTGGCTTGCTGCGAGGGGGAGCGGTCGACCAACCGTACTTTACACCTCGCTTCGCGGTGAAAGGGAGCAGGTGGAGGCGGGGTCCGGCGAGCGCGGCATTGGATGTCGTGGACGACCCGGTTCGGAGGAGCTGGAGACAGCTCGGAGGCAGTCGGGGCGCCATGGCGATGGCTGTGTGTTGTGGCAGAGAGCGTGGATTTGCACCGATTGACGCTCTGGTGGTCGTGATGGAATTTTTTGGGTGAGGTCGGATCAGAGTGCATGCGAGGTGGAAATCTCGAAGTGGCCCGTGCACACGCCAGAACGCCAGACCAGTCAGGAGCTTCAACCAGATTCTTCACCTCCTTCACGTTTACGTCCTGAATACATCGCCTTCAATTCTTTTTCACTTGGAACTCACCGGAGCACTTTGGAAGGGATTTAAGATGGCGTCCGTCCAGAATGCCAAGGCCCGTCTCTGGTATAGGATTCTATATCGCAACGCCCTCCGAGCCGTTCAATTCTCGGCGCCAGCTCGATACGTCGTCCGCGACCAGCTAAGGGCAGCCTTCCGAGAGAAGGACGGAAAGCTGAACCATCAGGTATGCCAGAGGACGAACTGGTTTCTACAAAATGCGGCCCAAGACAGGGGACTTGAGCACAAAATCCTCAAGAATCTTATCAACGTTGCATGTGAGCGTTACAAGAAGAAACCGTGGAAGGCCAATTACCAGAAGGATAAGGACAGGAAACATAAGCCCATGTGAGTATCCATTACGATCGAGTGCGTGTGATATGGATGCTGATTCTTTGTGTTTAGGGTACAGGCCACTGAAGAGTTTACAACCACCTTTTACCACCACTTTGATATTACACTGGCCATGTTGAACAAATCGATGGGTTTGGCCTTGCGCTGTGGTCCCGTTCAATAGCATGCAGTGGACTGTCTCTTCTTTACTCGGAAGTATGATCGCATAGGCGAGAACGCCGACATGCCACTCATCACTCACTGGAGGCAAGTCAAGCTCGGCCTGACAAACATGTCGGACTGCCGCTGGAAGACGAATTTTACTGGTATCACAGCATACGCAGGATGCTTGGACGGCTCGTCGAGGCAGGCTCATCAGACCAGCCTTTGATGCTGAGACTAACAAAACGCGTAACTTGTTGTGGCGTCATGGTCGAAAGACGGCAAGACGGGAGGGAAACACGACGGCTCCGGGCGAAGATGCAGCCAATCCTCAATATCCGATGGTAACCTATTGGAGGAACCGACACCCTCGCGAGAAGATCGCTGGTGCGACTTTGCAGACCCGAGCGATCTGCAGGCGCGTGGGGTCCGCAAACTCAACGGCTCACCCATGGTTGGTTGAGCGCTTCTGCGAAATGGCGGCGACAGCCCTTTTGCAGCCATCGAGGGCTCTCCTCCGTCATGGAGGGTAATGTAGGGCAGGGAGGGGATGAGCGGCTAGGGATGCAGTTGGGATTGGGGTGGTGGTGGGATATTTGGCACGATCGAACATGACTCTCCAAGGTCGCATAAGGTAGTTCAGCAATTTGTCGCCGAGCCGCTGCTGGCGCCCGTTAGGTGCTGATTCTTGCTGTTCCTGAGCTGATCTGATCTCGCCGCTTAATATGGAAGCCTGCTTTGAGACGCCCAAAGGAGGCCAAAGATGACGGCGATGGAAATGCGGGTGGGGTGAGGGGGAGACGTGTGTGGTGTCTGGACGTATTGTGTAATCCGAGGACTGCGGTTCGCTGGGAGCGACGCTGTTGTGCGTGGTGGGAGTTACCCCCAATGGAAGGGTCGGGGGACAGAGCGAGAGAGAGTCAGATTTGGGTGCTGAGATAAGGCACACCGTGTTACTGGGCGTTCAGAATAGCACAAGGGACTGGGTTGGGAATTGGAGAAGCTGGGGAGCTGAGGCGACGCTATCAGCTCCGTGTCGGAGCCAAGAAGTCTCGGCCGTCGCGCCGTGTCGGATCCCTTGGCCGGGGACGCTGGAAGGTGGTGCTGAAGTGGTCCTGTTTGTGTTTTGGCTATCTCCAGATCGTCCGGACAAATACAAAAATAACGACCCTCGTCGGCTGTTAACCCGGGAGGCCGGCCAAAACATTGGACATGGCTCCGTGAAACCGCTGACACACTGCGTTGGACCCGTTCGTTGTCGTAAGGTGGTCGACCGAGCCTGCGTTCAAGAGGTGAGCGACGCAAGTCCTCGAAACAGCGTCAAGTTGAGTCTACGGAGTCCACTTGGAATGTAGCCTTCTTCTCTCACACACCGTCTTGCAGTCTCTCCTATTTGAGTGACAGTGTGGTTTCTGTGGCTTGTGACGGTGGGTCGACAGACGGTACGACGGTCCAGTGAGGGGCGGCCGGGCTGTTTAGTGTTAGCGGCCGCTAGGTATCGACAGCCCGAGCAAATGAGAGAGGCAGGATCGCTGGAGATCCAATGACCCCCCCTGTCCTCGTTGTAGCGGATACTTGCTTCGCAGTGTTCTCCCTGCGCTGTCGATGCCGCTGCTGCGGTACAGTGAAAGCCCGCCCGCAACCACCACCTGGGCTCAATGACCATCAGATGTCCTCACCACTACACTGTACCCTACCTACCTTGACCTGGGGATGCCAATCAGGCGCTGTTTTGGATGTCTTTGAGCGGGGCAAAAGGGGCCTCCCAGGTGCAGCTTTCCGCACCTCACCACGAACGGCCCAGGCTTTGGAGCTCCAGCTGGGCCTGCCGGATGGACGCGCTGCATCAACCTCACCTCACAGGCGCATCTCGGTGGAGTTTTGTACCTCCACACGCATCCAGCGCTGTGGCGGTACCTCGACAACCACGAGGAACGACGCAGCTGCGACGCAAGGAGGGAGGGAGCTGGTGCTGGGCAGGTCCAAGTACATGAACCTTGCCTCTCCCATTGCCGACCCCGCAGTCCCAAGGTAGGTGCCAGTTGCTTTTACAAAGTAGTTGACGCCAGCCCTCAACTCTACTTGACCTGCTTCCCTCCTCTCAACTTAACCCGCAAATCTCCCATGGTTAGCGGGCACGACAGCGTCATTCTCCGGGGGTTCAGCCTTCGATCCCCAAACCATCCTTAAAGTCGTACTGCTCGCGTCCAACTACCGGTCCATCTTCCTCGTGCTCGATCTCGAACTCGTCTCTCCTTTACCGAAACCCTCGAACCACCCAACCCTCTCCACCGTTGACAAACGCCCACCGAATACGGTCTGGATGGACCCATCGCCGCTGGCACCGTGCCGTATCGCGACCGCGCTGAGGACCTTGATCTCTCGCGAGATCACCGTCTAAAGGCGCTGCCGAGCTGCCATTGCTGGAAAGCATGCCCGCGACAGAAGTCGAATACCATCCAAGACACCATGTTCCGGTCCTCCAACCGACTGCGATCATGCCTCGAGCTCAAGAAGAGCGCCCGCAGAGGCTGGTCAAGCGGTACCGGACCGAAATCGCTGCAAGCACGTCGAGCATGTTCTCGACCGTCGTCGCCTTCCCCCTCGATAGCGTGAAAACGCGAATGCAAACCTACAGATATGAAGGATTTCTCGATTGCGTGAGGCACACTTATCGCACTGAGAAGCTGAAAGGCTTCTTTCGGGGTACGCGCCTCCAATACTTGCTCTGCATGCACTCCCACACCACACCACCACAACCCCTCATCTCGACTCGCGTACTCAATGACACTAACCTTTTTGCTCCCCTAAACAGGCGTTCTGGCCCCGATGGCCAGCGTCACTCTTGTGCGAACCATTTCCTTCTCGATTTACCAACGCGCCAAATACACGTACTCTGGCTGGATCAAGCAAGCCTGCGGGTTTGACGTCCTGCAGCACGTCAACAAACAGGGCACCTATCCAAACCTCTATTCCATAGCCTGCTTTGGGGCTGCCGGTGCCTCTGCCGGCTCCTGCATCACGCTTCTTGCTTGCCCTTTCGAATTGACGAAACTCAGCGCCCAGGTATCAGTCTTGTTGTCTGACCAGAAGAAGCTCGCCGAGGCCAATTGTCGGGCTACGAATGGCCACCAGGTTGCGGCCAGCTACCAGAACAAGGGCACGTTCAAGACTATGTCCAACATCATTCGCCACCGGGGTGCTTTGGGGCTCTACACTGGCTTCAACTTGCACTTGTGTAAGTCTGCCCAGGCGTACAACCCCATCCATCCCTCAGCTGACCCATTCTAGTGCGAGATACCTTGGGGACGGCCATATACTTCATGGTCTACGAGAGCGGCAAACAGCTCGGGACTACGTTTGGCGGCGACCACCCCACCACTAACAAACTAGCAGTCGTGTTCTCGGGTGGGCTTTGCGGGATAGTGTCCTGGGCAATGATCTGTATGGAATTGTCTTGTCGTCAACGACGTATTGCGGAACGCTAACTGTGCCAGATCCCATTGACTCGGCAAAGAGCATCTACCAACGAAACTCTCTCTTGTACTCCAAGGGCCAGCAAGTTGAGCCGCCACCGAAGATTGAATTCTTCAAAAAACACATGTACCGCGGTCTTGGAGTATCCATGGGACGCTCGTGCGCTGTGAACGCTATTTTCTTCTCTGCCTTTGAATTCATGAAGAAGCACGTCAATTCACTCGATGATAACTAAGGGACTTATGTAATGAAGTACATGGCGACAACCGCATCGGAAACATTGACGGCTGCATCGAGGAAAGGGCGGCGGCGTTTTGGCTCAGTGCTCAGGATGGAGCCACGGGCATAAGGTCTGTTACCAAACAAACAAACAATATGTAAGGAATACGGGACGACTTCACGGACGATAGTTTAGTTCGTAGATTGGACTTGCAACGCAAACAAATAACGATTTTCAGCATGATGCACCTCGTCATTCAGTCACGCCGTGATCGTGATGCCCTCATTGATCCGCAGGAGGAGTTCATTACGTCTTAGAAGCTAGGGTTCAAGTTTGAAACAGCCTCGGATTCCTTGCCCAGTTCATTCGTGAGGAGTTCGGACTGCGCATGGCGTTTCGGTGAGAGTGACATGCTTTCTTCACCTGCTCGGTGTATGCTGCAGCCAAGTGCCGGCCCCTGCTTCTTTTGCGGGGCCGTGCACCATGCCCCGCCACTATCAGCACGTGAAGATAACGCTTACCCCGACGTCACGCAGCCTGCCCTGCCTTACGTAAGTTGCAACCCGACCAGGATCGCGTTGGGCGGCTTTGCATCCCATCCCATCTCTTGTTCCGGAACAACTGACCTCGCCCCCAGCCCTGGCGGCGTATGCTCATGCACTTCGAGCATTCAAGCACCGCGTCGCATCGCATCTCATCTACTGCACCTGCGCCTACCTCCCCCAAGTGCGAGTTGCTCTTGCCGAACTTGCTTGACGAGTCGCAGGCTCAAGTATCCATCAGTGGACATTTGAATCCCCTTCGTCTCCGTGATTTACTGTTGTTCTTTCGCGCAGCAAGTGCCACTTGCTGTCGTCATTTCGTCAACTTTTGAGGGCTTGCAAACCCAGGACGCTCTTGTGCCTGCCACACGTGGACGTTGTTGACTTGACTTTCGTCTTCAAGCCATTGCAAGCCTCGATCGTCACATTCACTAACTGTCCACCATCTTGTTGCATCTTTCTTTCTTTTTACTCTCCCTACCTACCGGATCGTTATTGAGGTTTGATCCTCAAGCATCATGGTAAGCTGATAAAAAGCACAAGTGCATCGTCGAAATGGGGAGAGAGAAGAGGTCTCAGCCGGGCCCGGCCACGGCGAAGGACCGCCACAAACGAGCTGGGAAACCTAGCAAGACCCTCGATCGGAGCGTGCCCCTGCCGCCGGGACTCGTCGCCGCGAAGCCGGTCACCGCAGTCACGAACTCAAAGCACCAGTCTTATTTCGAGTTCATTGAGAACAAAGACAAGAAGAAGCCCCTGCTCTTCGAGGTACTGCCCGAGTCGAACATGCACGTCGGCCGCTGAGCGTCAAACTGAACCACAATCACAGATCACGGCCAACCGTCAGCCACCGCCAGGGATGAAGTACATTCCAATGGGCAATCCGGAACTCACGGAGCGGTGCAAGGAGATATCAAGAGAAATTGGCGCTCTTGTCTACATAGTGGTAAGGCTGTCGGATTGAGAGGTATCAGACCAAGTACTTACGGGTTGGAAAGACATTCGCGAAGAAGGACGCGTCGGAACTGAGCCAACAGATCCACCGAGTCGGTCATCACATCCGCGAAAATATCGTGGATCGTGCGATGAGTGAACTGGGGCAGGATGCCTTTTACGAACCGACCACAACAGGACCAGACCAAGTCGAGGAGATCCCTCGCTCCCAAACGGAAATCAACAAGCAAGCCGATGCTGCACTGCGCGAGCTTTTCCCTCGCATTCCGCATACCGACAGACAGCAGATCATCGATCATGCGTTCAGAAAGGTTTGTTAATGCTTGCCAACTGCACGAAATGCGTGCGATGCTCACGGTTGCACAGGGCAAACAGTTCAAAGGTGAACTGGTGGTGGGGTTGCAACAGGAGCTGTCGCTTTCGCGGCGCGTGCAGCTCGCCGTCCTCGCCCACATCCGGCACAACCACACGAGATACGACGAGCTCCTCCGCGAGACATCATGGCACAATGCCAGAAGAGCTACAGAGCAATTATGTCTGGACATCCTCGTCAAGTGGCGAGGCGATGACGAGAACGGACGTAACCAACTCGACGAAATCCTTCGAGAAGTAGTCGTTCTATCTGATGATTCTGATGACGAGGATTCTGGCGAGGAGCCTGATTCCGACTCATCAGCCGTGCTCACCGACAGGTCCATGAATGTCGCAAGAGTCCCGGTGCCAACCATGCGTCAAGACCGTGCCAGCCGGAGCCGCATGTCGACGGCATTGCCGTCCCATCCAGGATCTCCCCAGGCAGTCGCTACGCCAGGAAAGAAACGGGTCAACAAGAAGCATCGCAGACGTGCTGCGAAGCATAAAGAGCGTAACTTCAGTAGGTACGAGGCTGTCGCAAATGCCAGATGGTCCGCAGCCATGAATCGGCAGAAAGCAGTGTCCAACGCGCAGCCGCAGGAGACCGGTGTGGTGAACGGTTCCGTTAGTCACGGAACGTATTCCCAAAGTCAGCCTGTTGTGTTCATGGATGGCAGGGCGCCAGTGATTGACCTCGGCCCTGCGCACCCGCAAAGGCCAGCGTTCGGCTCCTTTGCCAGCAACCCTTCTCGAGAGGCCAGGCCGCTCATGGACCGTTCCTTTGCTGCGCCGCCGATCGATTCTCAATATTTTGCTTCTGGTTCTTCGTTGCACAAGGTAAATGAATCTGGGAGTACGCCTGGCCACAGCTCCGTTGGTCCTCAGGGACCATCAAGCCGTCAGCTGCAGGATTATCTGATTCCTTCGATCGAGCCCAAGTCCCCTGATGCTAGCAAGCCCCCAATGCGCTATCAACGCCCCTTGGTGGAATACGCAGATCTTGGAGATGACCAGCCCTACCAGCGGAGAAGATCACCACCCGGAGGCCCCACCCTACGAGAAGCAGACCGGCTGTCCCCTCGCCGGAGGAGTCTGGGCTACCCAGAAGGTGCTCGGTCGTTCCATGACGGTCGTGAACAGCCGCGAGCCCCCCCTCCGGCTCGGGCCCCATCTTACATCGAGTTCGCACAGGATGTTGCTCGACTGCCAGCTTACCAAGCTCCGCGCCAGGTCGAACCTTCACTGCGGAGAGATGAGGCTGTACTGGGAGCGAGAGCCAATCCCATTATGATTGAGGATCCGCATGCTCGATCCCAGACTGTTGTTCTCGGTCCTGGAGAAAGCGTTAGGGACAGATTTGGCCCAGACGTGGAGATCCTGTCCGTCCGCCGCCCCCTGCGTGACGCCGGACCTGGCCCGGAACGTCGTGTTGCGCCCATGGACGAAGGCTTCATCCGCCTTAGAGAGGATCGTCCCCATTTGCCTCGGGATGGCCTGAGGGAAGAAGGTTTCCTTCGGATCAGAGAGCATCCTGATATTGTGCCACGTCGTTCCACCCCAGTGGCAAATAGCAGACACTCTCTGGGCGATCTAAGATCCACCTTAGACTCAGACCGGTACCAACCACATGCAGCACCTGGACAGGCTATCTATGTGAGGCGTGCCGAGAGGATGCCTCCGGCTGATATGACATACCCAGTTTCCGGCGGACGACGTTTTGAGGGTGCGATGAACGATAGACTCGCTCAGCGCCACATACCTTCGCCTGTGTATGATGGAGCGTAAGTTATGCGTCACACAGAGTTTTATTGCTCATCACCTACTAACTGCGAAATGCAATCAGACGCACTGGTGGTTATCTATCACACCAACCCCAGGGAGCATACGGTATCCCAGTCCATCGGCATGCAAGACCGACAGTACGGGTTGACGACCCCCAGAGATTCGAGAGATACCCGCCACCTCCTCCTGGGCAGTCACAGTGGCCGCGTGCAAGCGACGATGTAATCATACTTGACTGATCACAAGCACGATCTCTACAACTGAGAAACGGGAGCATGTCTATGGCTCTCACCAGAGCCTCCAGCATTTGTTGGGCGTTGGAGGAAAGCATATATATAGTGAAGGACTTGGGGCCTTTACACCTGGATGGAAAGGTTAGGTTCCTGACTTTGTGACTGATTTGCATTTGCATTTGCATTAGAGATGGGAGGTATAGAGAGATGGGTCCTGTTTTTGATACCCCTGCAGAACATGATAGCTGTGGAATAGCAGTGATTGGAGGAGCAGCAGTAGGACGACTATTGTCCGGAGGTAGCAACGAGGCTGAGGACATTCATGAATCAGGAAGAATCAAAATATCAACGCTCGAATGGCTTATCGCGATATCATATACCGGTAGCATTTGCAGTGTGCCTCTGAAACTGTATCTAATGGCCGCCGCCCATAATGATGTAGGCCTCTCGATGTGATGGCGCAAGAACGCAAGTAGATGGGTGAATCCAAAACGCAACGTGAAAGCAGTCGCACCAACCATCCTAAACTAGGGCCGCATCGCCGCGCAAGATGACGGGTGTATAAACATGAGCGTACTCAAACTCCATGAAATGCAACCGGCCTACAAATGCTAATCCGAACGCAGACGCCTCATCTCTGCAAATGGAAGGAGGGAGGGGGGGAAAAAGAGAGAACGAAAACACATGGGAGGGCTACGTCATGACGCCAACATGGCCTGTCTCGTCCTGACAGGCTGCTGTGCTTCTTCTGCTTCTGGCTCGTCGGGCAAGACGGGTTCTGTGTCGGGGACCGTGGGCAGCTTGTGTTGTTTGGGAGGGTTGCGGGCCGCCTCCTCCGCGGCGACGCTTGCCTCGAGAGCCGCCAGCTCGTCTTCGACCTCTTCCTCGTCCTGATTCGAGATGCGACCGCCAAGCATATCGCTGACTTCCTGAGTGAGAAAAAAGACGACTCGTCAGCATTGTACTCAGCTAGACAGACCACCGCAGCTGTCCAAGAGCCCGAGGTCTGGGCGCGGCGGCGGCGACAGGAGCAACGAACCTTTTGGTAAGCAATGGCATCGGCCGTCTCACCCATGAGCTTCTCAACGTGCTCAATGCCGCCCATCTCGGAGTGTATCTCCTTCAGAACCTTGGTACCCTGCTGCAGGCCAAATACAACATCCTTCTGGATCATGGCGAACTCGACGGAGGAGGTGAGCATCTCGAGCTGCTCGAGCTGGGCGTCCGTCTTTTGGAGGAGGGACTCCTGGTACTTTTTGCGGCGGAGGGCGAGGAGGGCGCGTGGCTTGTCGCCCTTTGCGAGCATCTGCTTCGCGATGGCGGTTTCCTTATCTGTCAGGACGGTGATGCGGCGCTGATACTGGTGGAGCTTGTCGCGTTGGAGCTTCATGTCGAGGATTGCCCTGCGGGAGGATGCGCGTCAGTAATACGGGCTTGCAGAGACTATTCAAGGAGTGCATAGAAGCGGCGCATGAAATCTGCGACGCTGCGCACGTGGGTCGTGAAGGTAGGGGAAGCAAGACTTACTTGTCCTGGGCGGTGACTTTACTTGCGTTGCCGCCCATCTCGACAGGTTTCTGCGGCGATTGGGAACTCTTGCTGTATTGTATGCACGATGACAGAAGACGTGGGATGCGCGAAAAGAAAACAAAGGGAGCGCTGTCGTATGCGTGTATGCAGAGGAACGGACGTCGTCGGTGGTCGGGCGGCGATCGGGGGTGTGTTTGGCGGTAGGTGGTGGTGGTCTCGTGCTTTGCCCGGCTCGGTTTCGAGGCGCAACGCTGCGACGGGCGGCGGGCGGACCTGGCTGGGGAATGGGTGACCAACCCACCCGCTGAGGAACACCCTGATGGGAATGTGAAGTTCGTCATTGCCCCATGTCCGACGTGGGGCCGAAGGCTTATCGATAAGACAAGAAGCGGCCGGCTTCGCGCGGGTTAAAAGGTACCGAGGTACTTGGGTGCGGTCTGCAACTTCATGTCTGTTTACATCGCGATGGCTTCAAACACCTGTTCTGCGCAAATAAAGTTGCGAGCCAAGTGCTCGCTCTTCTATGTCTCTTGATAAGAACACCATCAATACTTCAAATCCAAGAAAAGTGAAAAACAAAAATGGGACCTCGTGTCCCATCCTCTAGGCCCCAACCTCGCGTGACGAGAATCGAACGGCGCCCCTCCAGGATTACCAGAAACCTATGGGAGGAATTTGTTTGAACATGTGATTTTACCAACTGGGTCACGCCGTTTTCGCTGAACTGGTTGAAAGAACTTGAGGCGAAAGTTGACCAAATACCTTGGGAGTGACGAAGGTGAGAAGTAGTGGGGCTGTCACAGTCGAAGGAAGGAGCTGTTGCTCTTGAGGAAGGAGCGATGGCAGCTGGATCCAGCCTTGAGCCAGTTCTAGATGAAGCTTCGCTCACAAGGGGAGTAGCCGCCCCTCTAAACTGGTCATTCATGCACTTCCTTGCTGCCAGTGGCCAGCCGGTATTTTCCTGGTATATTCATCATCTATAGTTGTTCCACCGCTTGGATTTATATCGTTCGATGTTTATATGTACTTTAAGCCGTTGGTTTTCACGATAGGGTACCCTCGATCGGTGGTTCTCATCACGGACCACAGCTCCGCCTCAAGCCATAACCAACAACACGAGCGCTTGCTAAGCCGCGGCTCATACTTAATCCCAATGAAGACGACGACGACATTAGCAGCGACGACGGTGAATTAGAGCTTGTAACCACAGGAAATATGGTCACTCTAGCACAGGGACAACAGGCGGTCTCCTAGAGTATGTGATACTAACATCATCAATAAACTGTCGTTTCGTTTCCAGAGTTCCACGATATCTGAGCACAAATGTAGTCTTTCTGCCCCGGCAACAGGAGTTTCGCTGAGCTGAAGTTCACGACCCTCCAGTGCGGTCGTCCAGTACCGCTCACTATTTGCTCAGCATGAGAATCAACCCAGAGATACCGAGGTCTTCATCTCATATGGGATCGAAGCCGAGGTTGTAAAAGTATGCTCATAACGCCGGAGAACAGACACAGAACCCCTCAATACGATGTGTCCTGCTTTTGGAATCACCGACATACTTGGAGCATTCGTTTTGTACTCCGACCAAACGTCACGTTAACTTTGAAAGCTGAGTGTGTCTTATGATCGCCTGTGGAGTCTGGCAGAAAATACCAGAGCCCACTGAGTCCAGTATCTACATGTATGGGAATGGTGTCAATAATGTCATGACTTCGCTGTTCTTTGGTTGATTCGATCAAGTATGTCAATTGCCATCTCCTCATGCATGTCCGTAAGAAACCCGCCAAACGCATCGCGGCGACTGCCTCCTAAGGCTGGTTTGACCGAACTACCAAGTTCCCTATGTTTGGCAAGATAGTCGCTGAATTGCTGCTGAATTATAAGAGCTAATAGAAAATATGGCTTTACATGTCGACCTTCACACTTACAGGCAAAGAGGGCGCTTCCATGTGTATCATTTTGGAGCCATTGGTCACTTACATCAATACGCTTCAAGTACGGTGCAAGTGTGAGCCCTGCAGCTTACACGCGCAACTTCAAACAAGAGCACCAATACCTGAACGATCTACATGCCTAGACACACCGTTATGCTCCGGTCTTGGACCGGTGGACGGGCCGTGTGTGGGTCTGCTCAAGCATCACTACTCCGGGCACCGGCCGGAGCCCGACCACATCGGCCCGGTAACCTCATCTGACAGCAACTACCTGCGCAGAGGAATTCGCCGCGCGGACGGAAGCAGGCTTGTCGTATTCGCAAATCTCACAGACATGCAGCTCGCTTCCTTTACTGGTCCGCCGGCTTGTTTGGTCCTGCAGCGCCGCCTGGACCTCTCCGATGAGAAACCGCCCGACCGGCGCCCCGTGCCCATCCTGTCCGGGGAAGCTCATCGGCGCCGAGTACGGATACTTGGCCGCAAGAGCAAGAGCAAGCTCAAGCTTCATTCGTGCTCCTGAAACATCCCCCAGCAAATGCAAACCGTAACGGCAGAGTTTTCCTCGCCATCAACTAGCTCCCGCGGACCCGTGTACGAGAAAGTCTGTGTCCTCCGATGACAACGGACTGATCAACCTTTTCGCCTACCCGGAAGCCTAACCTTCAAACGCTTTAACTCTTACATAATTAATCTTACTGTTTGGCGTTGAAAGGATTGATCGCCCAAAATAGCCCCTGTTGTAGGCAACAACCCAAAGCGCCGCTCGACTTTTGTTGAGGGCTTGGGGTCTTCAAACAAGTTCCAGATGTGGT